GGCGGCGGTTTTACCTCCATTTTGAGACCGGACTCGCCTCTTCCAACTCGAGTTCAATCCCCAATTTTCATTTCTGTGAATAAAGCTATTCTGAAAAATGTAGCCACTGGGTAAGTAACCCTATTTTGCAAAAGGGGAAACAGGCTTCAAGGACTTTTTTTTTTTTTCAGACAGGGTTTCACTATGCAGTTCAGGCTAGCCTTGAACTCACAGCAATCCTCCTGCTTTAGCCTCCCAAGTGCTGGGATTCTAGGCATGCACCACCACACCCAGCTTTCAAAAAACTTTATTTATTTATTTATTTATTTATTTTAATTTTTATGGGGCCAGGGAGATGGCTCAGTGGAATAAGCGCTTCCCTGGCAAGCACAAGGACCTGAGTTCAATCCCCGGTTCTGCCAAAAAAAAAAAAAAAGTTTATATATTTGGTACGGGGTCTCACTATGCAGCTTGGACTCATAGTGATCCTCCAGTTTTCAGTCTCTCTAGCTTTGGGATTACAAGTGTGCACCACCACGTCCAGACTAAAAAACATTTTAGATTAGTAAAATTTTTGCTTTAAAACTCTTACCCTAAACTAGATATGGTGATACACATCTGTAATCACAACCCTCTGGAAGGCTGAGGCAGGAGGATTGCAAATTCAAACCCAGCTTGGGAAATTTAGTAACTTACGGAGACCCTGTCTCAATGTAAAAAATCAAAAGGGGTAAGGATGTAGCTCACTGTGAAGATTCTGGGTTCATTCCCTAATACCATAAAGCATTAAAAAAAAATTTAATAAGTCTTACCTCATAACAGAGCACCCAGTGAGTCCTTGGCAAGAACATGTTGAATGAGAATGAGTGAATGGGGGAAAGTATCATACTAAGTACTGGGGAAGATGCAGACAGGCCCTCCCAAGACTGCTTAGGTACCCATTTAAAATGACCTATACATTTCAATGTATATTGCAGTGGTAAATGGGGAAGAGAAAGGAGACTTCTGTTTGGCTCTAGTAAAACCCCCCAGAGGGCTTCTGATCCAGCCCTGGGCTGGAAGTTGGCCCCATCTCTGGCTACTTCTCACAAAGCAGCCAGGACTCTGCCTGGGGCATAAAATACCACAGTGCTTTTGAGGAAGGCTGCTTGCTTCAGCGTCCCTTCCCAAGGCAGGGATTTAGGGAGTCTGAGATTAGTCCTGACTGTGTAACTGACTTCTCCTAGGGCCAGAACCAACAGCAGTTCTGTTCTTAATAAGCACCAAGAAAGGAGGGGTAAAAGGCTTTGAAATGTTCTTACTTCTATGCTAGCCCCAGCCCGCAGGCTACTGAGTATACACTGAACGTGTGGACTCAGAGCACAAAGCCAGGCTAGGAGCAGAGGCAGGTAAATTTGGGCTCCACACGAGTGGACACTTTATTGGCCATTGTACCTGTTCAGGGAAACAGACTGCTCATGTAGCAGTGAGGACTCTGACAAGGATTGGGAGCAGAAGCTGTTGGTTATGTACTAGAGATGTCTTGGAATGCCCAGGAGGATGTCATCATTTGGTTCATAGATGAAGAAATTAAGATCCAGAGAGGCCATATCCATTGGGATGGAACTCAGTCAGGGTCTCACTTATGTTGAAGCAGCCACTTAAAGAACTGAGCTACCGGGGAGGCCCCCTGGGTCTCACTTATGTAAGGCAGATTTGTTTGGTGTTTTTGTTTTTGTTGTTTGTTTTTGCAAGGCAGGTATTGTGCTGAGCTGCATCCCTAGCCACTCCCTACCTTTAAAGCAAAGACTGGTGAAGATGAACTAAATCGTGAGGAAAGGACAGTTACAATGTCTGGGTGTGGAGTGAACAGAATTCCCTCCCTGAAATTGAGCACAGGAAGGACTTATAGTAGGAACACAGATATTATATGTTGGATGAATGCATGATGCCGGAATTTTTAAAAAAAAAAAAGATGCCGGAATGAACACATCTCCTCTCCCTTCCCGTGTTGGTCTTTCAGCTTCAGGTTAACTGCACAGACAGGCCAGCGGAGCCAGCCTTGTGGCCTGAGATAAGGTTTTGGCGGGTGTCTCCCCTGGCGCTCCCTCAAGGGAGTGTGGGGAGGCGGATGAGCCTGGCGCTGGCCGTGAGGAGCTGTACAGAGAGGACAGGATGGGCTCTAACTACCCTCGGAATGTGCGCTGCTGCCTGCCCTGGTGGGTCTTGGCAGTGGAGGCAGTTCTCGTTGTCCTCTTCTTCTTCTTCACCTCCTATGACCCCTCTCCAAAGGATCAGAAGATGCTCTTAGGTGCCTATCAAGGTGAGAGTTCCCTGGGGATGAGGGGTGGGGGCAGGGGGCCCTGAGGTTCTCAAGGGCACTGCTGTTCCTTGCCACGGGTTCCCCTTCTTCTTCCTTAGCTCACTCCAAGACCCAGCCAACAGCATAAGCATTCCTTTGGGAGAAGCCTGGGTATCACTTGTCCTGTGAAGCCTGCTGGAATTTGTCAGTGCTAGGCCAGGGCCCTTCTTTTCCTGTGTACCCCAAATTCCCTATGCCAAATTGATCCAAAATCCTTCCCAGAAGTCTCTGCTTCTCCTTCCATTTCTCTTTAGCTGTACATCATTTCTCTTGGAGGAGGGCTTTCTCTTGCTCTTTCATGTACTCCTTTGCCCATTCTGCCCTGCTTGCTTCTCACTGAGGGCCTGAGAAGGCTGCACTCTGTATGCAGATGTGAACCAGAGGAATGGCTAATGGGGAGGACAGGAGGCTGGTTATTTTATGTGCAGCTAAAAATATCCCCAGACTGTGAGGAGAACAACTATACCCAGACAGATGTCCACAGTGGTACAACTTGGCTTTTACAAAAATAGATATACAGGGGCTGGGGAGATGGCTCAGCAGAATAAGCGCTTCCCTGGTAAGTGCAAAAGCCTGAGTTCAATCCCCAGTTCTGCCAAAAAAAAAAGGAGCTACATCCCAACCATCTCAGTGGGCTGATCAGTTGCTTGTGATAGTAACGGCTAGGTCTCCTTAGGGGATACCCACAAAGTGCAGGCCGAGTCTTATCCTGATTGTGCCCTGGCCCACTCTTCAGTGAATGGACTAGTTAACTGGATGCAAAAAGAAGGAAGACATCCCAGAACTCCTGCAGAGGTCCTTAGGACAGAAATGATGGAAGGAGGGAATCCTACACCTCTTAACGAGCTGGTGGCAGACAAGCAAGATCTGGCTGTAATTTTACTGCATTTCAATTTACTGTAATTCTTCTAAATCCAATCCAATATCCATTCCAATTCAGTGTATTCATCTGTTCCTCCTCTCAGACAGTTCTTACATCCCATGTGAGGTCCAGGCACAAGACGATTAGAACTGCTATTTACTGAGCATTTACTCTGTACCAGACCCTATTCCAAATGCATCACTTTGAGCTCTCACAACAACCCTGTGAGACAGGCTTCATTAGCACCTCTGTTTTTCAAAGGGAACTAGTGACTTGCCCAGGGTCACTCAGCTAGCAATAGAAGAGCCGCTTTGAACTTAGACAGCCTGGTGTTCATTTCCATGCACTTAACCATTGTGTCTCATGGCCTCTTTTTACAGCAAGATGACTTTTTCGCATAACCCATGGGTATAGGAACCACTGATCCAAACCTGCAGATTGGCCTGAGGGCCTGTGCGCTTCGCCCTACACCCTGCTGCTCAGATAGTTTTATAGTCTCCTCAGAAGCTCACTTTGTGGTTGACCAGATGGCTCAGCAGACTAAAGCCCTTGCTTCAGCAGGGCGCAGCAGCTGGGGATTGTGGCCAGGGTTTGGTCCCCGGTATGGAATAGCATACTGGTGTACTGAGATGTGATTGAGGCACGGGCTTGTAATCCCAGCACTTGGAAGGCAGAAAACAGGAGAATCACTATGAGTCCTATCTACGTAGTGAGACCCTGTAGACCCTGTACTAAATTCATAAAAAGAGAAAAAAAAGACACTTACTTTGGAGGGAAGCACAGAGGCACAGAGGAGGACTGGCAGGGAAGATGATGGCGTTTGGGAGGGCTTTTGGAGGGAGGAGACTGTCCAGCCATGTCTGGACAGCTCACTGGGAGTTGGGAAAGGAGCGAGAGTCCAGCAGGAGCTCCGATGTGTGTACACGAATGGGGTGGACTGGGCCACAGTTCAACAGCACGGTGTGGCTGGAAGCTGAAGAGGGAAGCAGGTGGTGGTAGACCCAGGAGGTTGGGGAAGGAGTTTAATCTCTGCTCTGCTGCCCTGGCAGCAGATGGCATAGGATGAGCTTGAGTTTGAGTTGCAGAAAAAGCCACTCCAGGCTAATGAAGGGCATGGGACAGGGTCAGAGCCTGGGGCCTGACAGCAGTATGAAAGTTGTCTTATAGTACTGACCAGGCTTCAAACTGCTGATTATGTACACCAGTTTTTAAGCATGCTTTATGTTTCTATATTAACCTCAAGTACCATGTGTACCATCTTTTGTACATTAAGCGGAGCATCAACCATTACAGGCTGTGCTTGTAGTTCCAGCAACTTGGGAGGCTAAGGCAGAAGCTCCCCTGAGCCCAGAAGTTCAGGGCTAGCCTGGGCCACACAGTGAGACCTCACCTAATGAAAAAGAAGAAAGGATGTAAGGGACATTTTAATACATACAAATTTATAAATTTAAAGGAGATCAAACGGAAATACAATAGTGTCAGTGGGCTCCCCTGGTGCCATTGATGACAGTGGGTGCAAATCCATTCCTCAGCATCTTCTTTTTTTTTTTTTTTTTGTGGAACCAGGGATTGAACTCAGGCCTTTGTGCTTGCCAGGGAAGCGCTTATTCCACTGAGCCATCTCCCTAGCCCCTTCAGCATCTTCTTGATGGTTACAAATCACGTTGGTTGATTTCTGGTCAGATCTTATTGGGCTGACTTTTTTTTTTGTTTGTTTTTTTCGGTACTGGGGATTGAACTCGGGACCTTGAGCTTGCCACGCAGGTGTGTATGCTGCTGAACTATCTCCATGACCCTGGATTGACATTTTTTAACTTTGAATATGATTGGCAAAGAGTTTGCACAGGAGAAGCATGGCTCTGTCCTCTTCTTATTTTCACACAGCTGCCATTAGCATTCTGCCTCCAATCTCTTTCTCTTTGAAGGAGTAGATTAAGCCCTCCTCTACTTTATGAAGGTGATTTAAACTGAGGTCACTCAGTCTGTCAATCCATGTCATCTAATCCAATCTATGTAAATGACAATCGACTATTCATGCCTGCCAATTCTAAGATATTTTGGAGACAATTGGGAAATTTGAATGCAACATGAATACTGTATGATATACAGGAATGATTGCTAATTTTGATAGGCGTGATGGAAATACGGTGGCATTTCAAAAGCTCTATCCATTATGGAAGCATGTTGAAATTTCTCTATGGCAAAAGAAAATAACAAGTAAAGACAATAAAACAAGATCAGATCCATAGTGGAAATGGGTATAAGGGATCACTACAATATTTTCTCTCTCTCTTTTTTTTTTTTTTTTACGATATTTTCTCTATGTTTAAAATTTTCCATAGCTGTCAAATTTAAAAAAAAAGAAAAGAAAATTTGAGCCAGCTAGATAGCTCAGCAGATTAAAGCACCTACTTAGGCAGATGAAGAGATCAGGGTTTGATTTTCTGCATGCCATCCCCCCCATCCCCTGCATCCCCCAGGGCATGCTGAGACAGGGATTGAGACTGGGTATGGTGGGGCAAGTTTGTAATCCCAGTGCTTGGAGACTGAAAACAGAAGGATTACTACAAGTCCAATCTGTGTAGTGAGACCCTGTAGGCTCTGTACTAAATACATTAAAAAACAAAAAACTTGCCATTCATTGCTACATGATAAATGTGAAGAAACAGTGCTCCAATACCCACCCCCACAGGCTCCAGAGACCTTCCAAAACTGCGATTTGAGATTGGCATTCTGAATGCATGCAGGAAGTTTCTGGATAGATTTAAGTATTAAATAATTCCAGAGTTGCCAACTTCACAAGCACCTTTAGAACTGCTTGGATCTGTAGTTTCCAAAATGTGATCCCAGACCGGTTGCCTCTGCATCCCCTGGGAACTTTCTAGAACTTATTATAAGTGTGGTTTAGGGTTAGGGTTATGCTTATGATTACCGGGAACTTATTGGGACCTACTGATCAGAAATTTTGGAGATAAGAGTCTAGGAATATGTGCTTTAAAGAGCCCTCTGAGTAATTTTTTTTTCTTTTTTATTTCTTTTTTTATTTTGATATTTTAGAGCCCAGCCTTCCCTACACAGTGAAACTGTCTCAAAAAAAAAAAAAAGGATTTCCAAGGGATGTGCAAATACTCAATCCCTGGCACCTCCTACCTCCCAACTTTGGGAAATGAAATCTTTTTCTCTTCCCAGGATGCTGCTGGGTGAGAGTGAGTGGGAATAGTGGGGGAGGAAGGCAACATGAGGCTTCCTGGGGTCTCCAGTCTGTGGAGGGCCTGCTACTAAGCAGTGGGGAGCACAGGGTGGGGGCCTGGCCCAAAGCCTGGGACTTCAGAGATCCTGGGGCTCAAATTGCTTAGGCCAGGGGTGTGGCCAGGGTGGGTGGGGTGGATCTAGAATCCCAGGGGGGCAGCAGGCCAGAGGGGTAACTGCTCCTATGGATAGATGTTAAAGGCTGAACAGTAGTTATCCAAATGAACTTTGCAAGTGAACATCAGGCCAGGACAGGAAACCAGCTTGTCCGAAGTCACAGCTCATACGTGGCAGGCATGGGTACAGTATTTATTGGCACTACGCACCCAAGGCTGGGCATAGTGATTTGCACAAGCCAGCAATGCCCACAGCAATCCTTTGAGGACATGCCACATTTCATGCCCCCTTTACAGTTGAGAAATCTTGGATGATGAGATACAGCCAGGCTCTGAAGATTGACATCCTGACTCAGAGGCCTATGCTCCCCTGCTGCACTGTGTATGCTACATGGCATAGTGGTAAAGCCCAGGTGATCAAGAGTCCAAATCCTCCTGCCATGATTCACCAGCTGTGTGACCTGGGTGACGATAGCAGCTCTCTATGCTCCCTTTCTCTGTGTAGAAGATAGGCTGGTCATGTACCCAGCACCCAGGCTGCTGTGGAGAGAGGCTGTGAGCAGAGGTGTCCTCTGTGCACCCGCTACTCCCGTGATGCTAGTGATGGACTTCTCTCTGCCTCACTCCTAGCTTAGACCTTCTGTCTCCAAGGCTAGGCCTTTCCCACACTCCTTCCCAAGGCCTGGCTTAGGCTGTAGAGTTCCTGCCTTGGCCTGGTCCCTGGAGGCCCCTGCAGCACCTACATGCCTTATCATCCCTGAACACCTTCCAGTCCGCTGGCTTATCAGACTGGAGACCAGCAGCTGATATGGCTGCAGTGCAGTTGGGGAGGCTGGCGGCCAGGGAACGAGATGTGAGAAGGCATCTGGGCTCTTGGGGCCCCAGGAGGCTGAGACAGGAAGTGGGAGGATGCAGCAGATAAGAAAAGAGGGATCTTGAAAGCAAATGTCACTGTTCACTGACAGTTGAAAACTTGCATGAGTTCAGTGACAACTTATAGGAACTGCTGCCCTAACTTATCTGCTTTGGCTTTCATGTGACTCCTGCTGACAGATACCACGAGGCCTTGGGAAGAAGGCTGTGAGCTCCCACGCCAGCATGGGGCAGCTACTGGGCTGACAGAGGGCTCCCTTACCCCCTGCACATCCTCTGACTTCTTAACCTTCAGAGCCACCTCTGCACCCATCACTCTTCTCTCCCTACCCTCCCATCCTCTTCCTCAAAGTATTCCAGAACTCTAAGGGCCCAGAGAGCATCAAGTGCAACTGCTGTGGTTTCCAGAGAAAGAAACAGGGCCAGAGAGTGGGAGAGACTTCGCTAAGCTCCTTTACCCCCATGAGATTAAAAAAAAAAAAAACAACCCAAGAGTCAGGTGTGTTGGTGCATGCCTATAATCCCAGAACTCTGGAAGCTGAAGCAGAGGGATTGCCACAAATTTGAGGCCAGCCAGGGCTATGTAACAAGACCTTGTCTCACAAACAAACAAACAAACAAACAAACAAACAAACGCAAAACAGCTAGAGATCGACCGGCCTGGTAGGAGGAGTTCAGAGCTGGATTCCAGTGTAGGGGCTGTACAAGCCTGAGGAAGGCATGAGCTCTCTCTCTGTCCTCTTTGGTAAAATGGGAGGAAAATGGAGGACTCTTCCTACCCATGGGACCTTTAGTATTTCTGGGCCCTTTGCATGTAGCATTGCTACCAAATGGAAGCTGAGTTTTGTTTAACTGGAGCATCTCACAAAAGGTTGAATATGACTATCTCAACGGGGGTGTGTAGTTTCCAATGGGTCACAGGCTTCACCACTCCAAAGGCACCTTTATACCCCTATTTCTTGCTGGACTCCTGAAGGCCTTTGAACAATCCCAAGAGGAACCCCTCTGCAGGGTGCCCTGCCTACTCTGAGCCCACCTCCATTCACAAGACAATGCCTGCAGGAGACGGAACAGTCCCAGCACCTCACCACTCCCCACCCTATGCCAGGGGAGAGGGTGCAGAGAGCAAATCCTCCCTAATCCCCACTCATCACCCACCCCTCAAGTCCTCAGATCGCCTGGCAGGGAGGTTTATGTGGCTTGTTTCTTGGCAGCTCCCTCCATCCCAGTATTGCCAGGTTGATTGGGGAACAGCAACCCTCACCGAAGTCCTGTGTGCCAGGCCCTGCGTGTGCATAGTCTTCGATAGACAGGACTTTGTGGGATTGCATTAATCACAGAGCTTTCTGTGACTCCCAGGAGTCTCAGTAATAAGAGCTTTCTTGCTGTGAGGGGACCTGGGTCTGGGGACCAGAGGCAGGTGAGTTCGTAGGGAGGTGCTTATCAATATAAGGATGATGAATAGTGTTTTACTGAATGTTCTTCCCATGCCAGGCCTTGCACCAAACACTTGAACAAAGCAGTGTTTTTGTCAGCTCTCCCAACACTCTCTGGTAAATTGTCCCTATTTAGTTGATGAGAAAAGTAGAAAACATACAAGGGTATGAGGTGGAAACACACAAATGGATGATTTTAAAAGTCAAAAACCTGTCAGCAATTTAGCAAAGTTTAACCTAAAAGGAAATTACAGAACTGTGACCAAATGGAACTGTCTGAACTTAAGATCCATGCTTTAAAAAGGAAATTATTGGGGCTGGTGAGATGGCTCAGTGGTCTAAAGCACCTACTTAGAACAAGCTTAGCAAAGCACAGGGACCGCGTTTCAATCCCCCAGCACCACATGCCAGCCAGCCCCGCCCCCTGGTGGGCTGAGCTGGCCACACACACACACACACACACACACACACACAAATAAAGATATTTTTTAAAAAAATAATAAAAAATAAAAAGGAAATTATTTAATACCTGTATACTAGTTGCAGACAATGTAAACACTGAAAAGAAAAGAAAGTAAAACTCTCCCAAATCTAGAGACAACATCTATGAGAAGAAAAAACCAAAAATGCTTCAAAACATCTCTTCGGTCTTCATACCTATGTAAAAATAATTGGTCTCTTCTTGATAAAATGACTTTTACAGGCTGGCTAGATAGTTCAGTGGACTAAAGCGCCTGCCTAGGCAGAGCACAGTGGCTGGAGGTTCAATCCCTGTGCTGTGTTGACCCCCCCGCCCCCCGGGGCACACAGAGAGGGCGATTGAGACTGGGAGTGGTGGCGCACGCCTGTAATCACAGCGCTTGGGAGTCTGAAAACAGGAGAATCACAAGTCCCATCTGTGTAGTGAGGCCCTATACAACCTGTAAACCCTGTACTAAATACATGAAATAAATTTTAAGAAATGACCTTTACCCTTTTTTTCTTTAAATCTTTTTTTTTTTTTTTTAACCTGTGCCCTTGTAAGCCACTATATGTATCATATCTTTTGACTCTGGCAGCCTGATGAAGGGATTTGATTATTTTTCCCATTCAGCAGAGGCAAACAGGAACAGGGCAGAGTGCGGCAGAATATAGAAAGTAATGCCCCAGGCTCCATGAGACTGTATAGGTTAAAATCCTAGCTCTAGCCACGTACGGTGGTGGTGCACATCTGGAATTCCAGCACTCTGGGAGACCGAGATAGGAGGATTGCCAGTTCTAACCCAGCCTGGGCAATTTGACAATTTAGCACAACCTTATCTCAAAATAAAATGGAAAAAAAAAAAAAAAAAAAAAAGAAAAAGAAAAAAGGCTGAAAGTATAGTTCAGTGCAAAGGCTCTGGATTCCATCCACAGTAACTCCCTGCTGCACAAGAAAATTCCTGGCCTTACCAACTAGGCCAAGTTACTCCGCTGTCTTTGGTTTTCACATGTGTCAGATGGTGATGCTGGCTGGGCCTGCCTCCAAAGGTGCTTGTGAGGACACAGGAAGATGGGCCGGGTAAAGCGATTAAAACAGTGTTAGCATATAGTAAATGCTTAGTAAAACTAGGCTGTCATTAAAGCTCAGAGAGGCTATTAGATCGATTAGGACCACACCACTCATGCCCTCATCTGAATCTGTGTTTGTTCATCAGTGAGCACGGGCTGCTAATCATTTCTCAAAACTGGAGTCCAACCAAAACAGTGCTCCTCTTTCTCTTCTGCTGGGCTCTGCCTGCCATCAGGTATGCCTTTTCCACTCCCCTGCCTCAGCAGTCCCTGCTTAGGAAAAGCAAAGGCAACCCAGGCGGCTCAGTTACTCTTCTCTCCTTGCTGGGACAAATACCTGACACCCAAAATGAAGGAAGGAAAGGTTTATTTAGCTCACAGCCAGTGAAGGTTTCAATCTAAACTCAGCTGGCTCCAAGGAGGGTGGCACATGGCAGAGAGCAACAGTTCATGGCGGTGGCAAGGAGCAAAAGAGGGAGAAGTAGCAGCAACAATGGCTACAGAGAGCAAGTCTGTCTCCCTTATGTGGCATTCAGGCAATCTGCCCCAGGCTGGGTGTAGCACTCACACCCATGATCCCAGCAGATCACAAGTTAATCACAGGGGCTGGGGAGATGGCTCAGTGGTCTAAAGCACCTACTTAGAACAAGCTTAGCAAAGCGCAGGGACCGCGGTTCAATCCCCCAGCACCACATGCCAGCCAGCCCCGCCCCCGGTGGGCTGAGCTGGCCACACACACACACACACACACACACACATAAATAAATAAAAAATTAAAAAACAAAACAAGTTAATCACAAACTCCAGAAGTCTGCCCCATGACTGCACGAGGCTTTGGGGGGACAACTAGACACAAACCATAGCACCAGGTGATGCTGGTGTGTTCTGTTGTCCACCAGGTGCCCCGCAACAAGAGAAGGGCCAGAGCTGTTTTTGGCCAACAGGAGCTCTAGGCCTGCCTCTGCCTCCTCTTTCCTCTGTGACCTGGCTCAAGTCACTCAGCTGGTATGGCTTTATTTTCTCCCCAGCATGACCACGGGTTTGAACCTGATCTCTGAAAATAGTCAGCAATTACCACTCCTGAGTGCCAACTACGTGTTAAGCACAGTTCCTGATGCTCTGCACGGCATTGTGCTTATTAATAGCAATAATTACCGCATTTCCTGAGCGCTCACAATGGGCTAGTCCTTGCCAGAAGAGCCTAGCCATCCTTAGCTCACCTAAGTCTCTCCTAAGCCCTGCAGGCGGGGGAGGTGCTAGCCTCATCATCATCAGAGGGAAAAAACCCCAAAAGCACAAAGGGGCAAAGTGACTGGGCGAGTCCCTTCAGTGACCTTGCCTGTCCCTGCCAGCTGCCACTGGGCGCACTCTCATTTCACATTCCCTCTCTCTTGTCTGCTTCCTCCCATTCTGCGCCCTTCCTCTTCCCTGAGCAGCCCTCCAGGATCTGACCATCATCGCAGCCCTTGGCTTCGGCTTCCTCACGTCCTATTTGCGGAGACACAGCTGGAGCAGTGTGGCCTTCAACCTCTTCATGCTGGCCCTTGGCGTGCAGTGGGCAGTCCTGCTGGATGGCTTCCTGAGCCAGCTCTTGCCCGGGAAGGTGGTCATCAACCTGTTCAGGTGACCAGTGGCAGCTGGTGTGCTTTGAGTCCTTCGGGATTGGGCGTCCTTGAGATTCTGAAAGAGTTGGGATTATCTTCCTTCCTCTCTTATTAGCACTGATGCCATGTAATATGTAGGACATACTTCTTCTATAAGATTATTCTTTATTTATTTATTTATTTATTTTTCTACAGTTTTATTGATAAACAGATAGCAATGAGACAGTTTCAAATCAAATCGGAAGTACAGTTTCAACAAATAATACACTGCATATATTCTTCTTAGTGGTTAATTGCTGTACAAGATGCGGACTTGTGATCCTATTTACAAACACCATTAGAACAAATCATTCTATTCATTAAGACAATGCAACTATATATCTACCCCAACCACTTTGAATACACAGATACAGAATGGATATTCATTATTTATGTAATAGCCAAATTTAACCAGGCATCTCATCTTGTGTCTGACACCTCAATTGGGTGATATCAGACCTCCTGAGATCTACAGCCTTCTCTAGCTTCTTTCTTACTTTTTAGTTATTATGATTTTGGTAAAGCTACACAATCAGCATAGGTTTGTATAAAATGAAGAAAGAGCTGGGGGTAGTGGCTAATGCTTGCAGTCCCAACTCCTCTGGTGGCTGAGAGGGAGGATCTTGGTTTGAGGCTAGACCGGTGAACTTGGCAAGGCTCGGTCTCAAAATAAAATAGGGCTCAGGTGTCGCTTAGTGGCAGCATGTTTAACATGTGTAGGACCCTGGGTTCAAGTCCTAGTAAGGCATAAAGGGAGAGAGGGAGAGAGGGAGAGAGGGAGAGAGCCAGTGAGAGAGAAATGGATGAAAAGAAATGAAAGTTTCTTAAGCCCAGGGAGACCTGTCTTCAAAAAAGTAAGGACTGTCAGTCCTCAGGTGATGGTGGAAGAGAGCTAGCCCTCCAGCTACACCTTTATTTTCTTTCAACTAGCTTTGATCCACTTAGATGCATTGATAGGTGATGCTACAGTCCAACAAAACTGAACCATCACACCCTGGTACTAGAAGTCAGAAGAGCGGTTACCTAGGCAATGAGTGGGAAGAGGTATGAAATAGCCTGTGGGCCCAGTAAATGTGGGCTCAGGCTGATCTGAGTGATAAGAATTCCACACACTTTAGGAAGCCATTAGCATTTGATAGGAGGAACTAAGTAGTGTTTCATCTTAAGAACTTTTACCCAACTTTGAATTTCTGTTCTGCCCAGACAATGGTAACCCCCAAAGCCTCTGAGGCACTGCTTATTGATCAGCTCTCTGTGAGCCAGGCACTGTACTGTAATCTTCACAGATATTTTAACTCTTCCAGGTAGGGACCAACCTCAAATACAGGTAAGGAAACGAAGGCTCGGCTAGGGTAAGGCACCTGGCCAAAGTCACACAGCTTAGTGCAAGAGATAGCTTTAACCCTCTGTGACCTTTCTTACACACTGCAGGGTGGTCATGAAATGAAGCAGTCTCAGCTTCTCAGTGGCTGAGGTTGGGGGAACTCCCCACATTTTTCCTTTTTGAAACTTTCGGAGCTAAGCTTTTCAGGGATTGAAAAACCCCTGGTATTCACCTAGGAAGTGACAAAGGGGACTCGGGAGGGATTTGAACATTAGTGGCCCTGGTTTGGTGTTCTGCGGCCTTGGCATAAGGTCACCCAAGCCAAGCAGGAAGCACAGCAGGGCTGTTCCCGCCTCACGTGCGCAGGGACTGTTGGCATCTGACTCAGTCTAGGGAAACCAGACGCCACTGGCAGCCCTGGCAAGCTCCCCTGTCCCACCCTGGCCACCTGGGTCCTCCTAGCTGTGACCATCCCTTGTCCCAGTGGCTTTCCAGACCTGAATAATGAGCTTCCTCCTGGCTGACAGGCTGGGCCGATGGGTGGCACCCAGGCCTCCTCTATCACTGGCTCACTGGAAACTGTCACCCGACCTGGCTCCAAATTGGCTCTGCCATGAGTTCCTGCAGGCCAGGCGCCTCTCTGCTAGGGCTCTGTCCTTTATTTCTTCACAAAGGAAGAATTTAGTAAATGATTACTGAAACAAAAAGTGAAAGCTGAAGGACTTCTAGATGAATTTTATTTATTTATTTTTGCAGCCTGGGGAGTCAACTGAGGCCTTATGCATGTTAGGCCAGCACTGTACTAGCAGGCTAGAGCCTCAGCCCTGAGTGGTAATTTTAAATTTTATTTTGAGAGGCTCCAGAGGCCTCTGTCTAGACAAACGTAGCAATAACCAACCCCCCGTTGTGCTTTACATGTACTGACTCGTTTTGCCCTAACAACAGCTCCAGAGGCATTGCTCTGAGGCCTCAGAGGCAGTGAGGCACAGAGTGGTTAAGTAATGTGCCCAAGATCACACAGCTAGGAATGGGCTGAGTCACACCCTCCACCCAGGTAGTCTGGTCTCCTGTCCTCTGTACTTCCCAGTCTCACACCTACCTGTTACCAACCAGCCCCTGTGGTGTGACAAACCACTGTAACTCACATCCTTTGGAATTAAGCTTTTGTCAGTGTAACAAGCACTCACTCAAGAGATGCTGCCTGTGTGACACAATGAACTGTGGAAATAACCTTTATTCTGAATACTTTTTTTCTTTTTCTTTTCCTTTTTAATATGTATATGTATTTGGTACAGTGTTTCACTATGCAGCTTGGACTCACAATGATCCTCCTATCTCAGCCTCCCCAGCACTGGGGTTACAGGTGTGCGCCACCATGCCTGGTTTTAGTGCCCAGCTTGGCACAGGGAGAGCACGGCATGTGATACTGGGGATCGAACCCAGGTCTTTGCACTTGCCAGGCAGGCCCTTAGACCGCCAAGCTATCTCCCCAACCCTACCTTTGTGACAGCACAGACATTCTGACTTAACAAGGTTATGGGAGAAAAGCCCTAGCTTCTCAGATGTCAGCTGAAGAGGGTTTTCTCAGCAGGTGTGGTGGTGCACACCTGCAATCCTAGCAATGGAGAGGCTGAGGCAGTAGGGTCACTAGTTTAGAGCCAGCCTGAACTACATAGTAAGTCTAAAGCTACTGTGGACTACATAGCAAGACCCTGTCTCAAAAGGAACGAGAAAAATAAATAATTTTCTCCTCCCAATCCCCCGCACTGAAGATGCTCCATCCTCATTCGTCAAGGGAAGAAAGGGACCAGTGATAGTGTCTGTGATGACAGCTTCTGCTCACGATAGGTTCTTCATGCCTGTTTTGATGCCAAATACACACATTCAGAGTCTGTTCCTTTGAATCCCCGCTCACCCCCATGAGATAAGTAGGCTTATCATTATTGCTTTGCAGAAGGCAACAAGCACAGTGAGATTAAATAGCTGCTTAGGTGGCAAAGCCAGGAGAGGAAGGCAGGCTTGTACTTTTCCAAACCTGTCCCCTTCTGGCGCCAGGAGAGGGGGGGAGGGGGAGGCGCGAGGAGGCGGAGTGGCCCAGTGGCCAGCAGGAGCAGAGCGCCCTCTGTTGAGCATCTGTGAGCACAGGGACAGATAAGCGCGCTGGGTGTCAGACCCCGCGGGACCTTAGCTCAGTGACCTATGTGTGGACGCCTTGGTGTGGCCACAGTAGGATGAGTGCGTGCAAAGCTGTATCTCAGCACAGATGTCACCCTGATATGGGACAGAGCGAAGGCCACTCGGGACTGCAGAGGGGCTCTCCTAGGGGTAGAAACCTGTCTTTTTCTCCTGAGGGCCTTCAGAAGGGCCAGGTAGGTGTTGGTAGAAGGAGCGAGTGAATGAATGAAAGGCATCCTATCTCCTGGTCACCGGGCTCTCCTTCTCTCTGCCAGTGTTCGGCTGGCCACCATGAGTGCCATGTCAGTGCTGATCTCGGCGGGCGCCGTCCTGGGGAGGGCCAACTTGGCACAGCTGTCCGTGATGGTGCTGGTGGAGGTGACAGCTTTTGGCACCATGAAGTTGACCCACAAGGAACTCTTCAATGTGAGTTGAGGGAGACTTGGAGGGGCTCTATGGGAGAAGAGGGGTGAGAAGCCGGGAGGGTGGGTACCCACTGCTTCCTCTGGGTGAAGATTTAGGTTATAAAAACAGAGTCAGGTATGATAGTGGGTGCCTGTGGCGCCAACACTTGGGAGGCTGAGGCAGGAGGATCACTGTGAGTTCAAGGACAGCCTGGGCTACATAGTGAGTTCAAGGCTAGCCTGAATTGCATAGTGAGACTGTCTCAAAACAGAACAAAATAAAGGGCAGGCCAGATAGCTCAGCAGATTAAAGCTTCTGCTTAGGTAGACCTGGGTTTGATCCCTGGAGTGCATTGCCGGCCCTGTCCCCAGGGGGCATGCTGAGATAGCGATGTGCCTGTGATCCCAGCGTCTGAGAGGCTGAAAACAGGAGGATCACTACTGAGTCTGATCTGTGCAGTGAGACCCTATAGACCCTGTACTAAAAAAAAAAAAAAAAAAAACAGGCCCAAATGAGGTTGGCAAAAATGAGGTAATCTATGCTGAATAATGACTTTGATTTCTAAAATATGAGCTTGTGGGACTATGCTAGTCAGAAGGTAATTATGGTATGCATCAAAAGTAGAGAAGAGTGAGCTCCCAGAGCCCCGCTGGCCATGGTGCCCGTGATACAGGGAAACCTCCAAAGGACAAGGAGAAAAACTGATCTCCCAACCTAAAAGGTACCTGGGACAAGTTTGAGTTCTCTAAAACCGAAGAATGGAATTTAGAGACAAACGGAGGTCATAAGCAGACTATATTTATTGAGAGAAAGAAAGCTCCTGTCTGAGAGAGGGACAGGTGCCCGAGTGGGTGGTCCCCGGGAAGCTGTCTCTTCCAGGGACTTTTATAGAGGAAAACCATGTGGTGAGGCAGGTCTAAGGTGGTGGAGAAAACATGACAACTCGCTTAGGTGGGCATGAGGTGGGACCAAACTATGGTCAATCAATGAGATTACAAGCACTATTGCTCAGGTTAAATTAATTAAATCCAGGACCAAATAGGGAAGTGAGTCACGTAGCAGGCAGGCATGAATTTGGGACAGGGTCTCTTCCTGTTGGGGGTTGGGCTAGTGACTCATTTGGGCTCTTTCAAGGTGATTGATACCTATTTAGAATATCAATCCCTAATGCCCATCCCTAGGGAAGTATGTAGCTGTGCTTCCTCTTTTTTGTCTTGGTCTTGAGGTGTGGCCCATATGGGAGTGTCTGTCTCTTCCCAGTTGCAAAGTCACCTTGTCTTCCATCTTGTCTCCTTGAGGGCCTGGCCCTGTCTGACTGCCTATAATGTTTCTACCTAACTTGGCTGCCTGCAATACCAGCAAGGTGCCTGGGGCATCTTCTTTTATTTATTTTATTTTTTATTTATTTTTTATTTTTATTTGTGTGTGTGTGTGTGTGTGTGTGGCCAGCTCAGCCCACCAGGGGGCGGGGCTGGCTGGCATGTGGTGCTGGGGGATTGAACCGCGGTCTAAGTAGGTGCTTTAGACCACTGAGCCATCTCACCAGCCCCTCTTCTTTTAAACCAGTGTGTCAGCAGTGACTTTTGTGATCTTCAGTGGAAGACACTGTCAAAAGACTAAGTAGGACGAGCTTAGAGGCAGATCCCTGTGATTTCAGACTAAGGCAAAATTCTAGGTTTGAGCCCAGACTGGGGGATTTAGCAAAATCCTGTCTCCCAGTTGCACAGCAGGACAGCAGCAGAACCCATGGGAGGTCCCAGTGCCCCTCCCTGCTTTAGGAGAAAGCACTGGGCCTGAGATTTGTGTCCTAGCTCTGTCCCGGGCAGAGTCCCTGAGGGGGCAGTCTAACTTCCGAGAGGTTCAGCATCTGAGGTAGCATGAGGACCTCACAGGGCTTGGGAGGAGTAATTGATTCATTCGGTGAGATGAGGTATGTATTCAAAAAGAACAAAAGGCACAAGGCTCTGCTATTAAATTGATACCCCTAATAAGAACTTTGAATTTTACCATGAAAAATACAAGCATGGGGGTTTTGAGCACAGGAGAGACGTGATGTGATGTCACGTGATCTGCAGTTTTTAAAGCAGCACTGGCTGCAGGGGGAGGGGCAAGGAAGGGTGAGGTGCTGGAGACCTGAGAGTGGACCCTGCGTGAGCCAGACAGTGGGATGCCAGCTAGGGGCGGGGAAGGGTGGCTGGGCTCTGCACTTTGCAGGCAAAAATCAACAGATTTGCTGATGGATTTCACAAGGGGGTGTGAGGGAAAGGAAAAGGTCAAAAGAGACTCCAAGGTTTTGATATGGAACAGCTGGATGGATGGTAGTGCTGTTTGCCGAGGCAGACCACTTAGGGACAGACTACAAAGTGTAATCAGAAAATGTAATGAATGCTTTAATTCTTTTTTATGTATTTAGTACAGGGTCTACAAGGGTCTCACTACACAGATCGGACTCGTAGTGATCCTCCTGTTTTCAGTCTCCCAAGCTGCTGGGATTACAGGCGAGTACCGCACTACAGCCAGTCTCAATTGCAGTCTCAGCATGCCCTGGGGACGGGGCCAATACAGCACACCTAGGATTGAACCCCCGGCCTTGTGCCTGCCTAAGCAGAAGCTTTAATCCACCGAGCTATCTGGCTGGCCCTAATGTTTTAAATTTAAAAAAAATTCAATGCCATTCATGCCCCTCAAATTACTCCTCTTCACTTTGCAGTTATCCCATTTTTTTTCTTTTTGCGGAACTGGAGATTGAACTCAGGCCCTTGCGCTTGCCAGGGAAGCGCTTATTCTACTGAGCCATCTCCCCGGCCCAGTTATCCCATTTTTTAAAAAAATAATTTCTTATTAATCCCAGAATGGTTACCATTGCATTTATTTATTTATTTATTTATTTATTTATTGCAGTACGAGGGATTGAAACCAGGGCCTTGTGCTTGCCAGGCAAGTGCTTATTCTATTGCACTATCTCCCCGGGACCACCGTATCCCATTGTTCTTACCGCTTTCTGAAGTAGTTCTGGAAGTCCTTTATTGTATCTTTAGCTGCAATGTGTGGCTGTCTTCATGTCCTGAATCAATTCAAAACATGATTGGGTTTTTTTGGCTGTCTCAGTGCATCCTGAGGGCGGGGCTGGCACCACATGCAGTGCCAGGGATCGGTTGAACCACTGTCTCCTGCAGCTGCCTATGCTTGCCTAAGCAGGCGCTTTAGACTGCTGAGCTATGTCGCCAGCCTTGGTTGTTGTTTTGACTTTGGGAAAAGAGCAAGAAGTCACATGGTACCAGATCCAGCTAATAACGTAGATGAGGACACAACAATGTCTTTACGAGCCTGCCTTTCTCCTCGATGGCACTAGGCAGCGGCATTCACTGTATTTTTTTTTTTTAATCACACCTTCTAAAGCTACTCAAAAACAGTGGGCTAAATGTGTTCAAGGTGGGGAGGGAGTATTTTAAGGAGGAATTAATGACAATAGGTCTTCTATTATGATAATTTTTTAAATACATACATTCACTATATGTTTCAATCACACCTTATAGAGCTGGGAGAAAAAAATCCAGGGCTCAGTTTTAAACATGGAGCACTTAGGGTCCCCATGTGTACTGTTGGCCACCACCAGTAGAGACACTAAGTGGAATGTCCAAGTCTGAGGGTTAGTGGAAAGGTAGGGCCGGGCTCTCCAGTTGGGAGGTTTTCAGGTAAGGATAGTGTTTGAAGCCATGGGACTGGAGAAGATCGCCCAGGGAGTGAATATAAAGGTGTGTAGAAGTCTGGGCACCAAGATCTACGTGCAAAATCTTAGATGAGGACAGGTGGAAGAACCAGTGAAGATGCCTGCAGGGTGGCCAGAGGGGGACAGCCAGGAAAGGTGGGGTTCTGGTGGACCTGCGGAGAGAGCGCCTAAGCTGGATCAGATGCTGCAGAAGGGACAAGCAAGATGCAGGCTGGAGAGTGACTAGTAGAGGAGGCAAGCAGAGTTTGACAGGCAGGTTAGGGAGTGCAGGGAAGCAAAGGCCTGACTGCTGGAAAATCAGAGTGTGGAGATGGAGACCGTGCTCCAAGCCAACAGCGCTCAGAAGATGCTCTTCCAAGGATTTTATATTAAAGGGGAGAAGAAAAATGGAGTAGGTGCCAGGGGATTTTGTTTAAGATAGGTGATGTCCATCTACCACTTAGAATAAACTAACGATGCAGAAAGATGAATTGCAAAAGCCAAATCTTTGAGTTGGCGAAAGGAAGGAAGCTTCTAGGCTGGATGCCTTTGAGAGGGAGGGCAGAGGCTGGGTGGCCTGGTGGGATTAGGGTGGGCATCACAGGTACATTCTCTGGCAGGGAGAAAATTTTCCACTTATGGCTTGCATTTTCTTAGAGAAACACAGGGCTAAGTCAGGAGCCTTAGTGTGGGGAGAGGAGGTGAGAAATGGCAGGCTGTAGCCGGGGAGAAGACAGAGCAGATCAGAGAGGCGCAGCGGGCCTTCTGGGGCATGAGGTCATGTAGATGCAGAGCGGGCGCTAGCGCTCAGGGTGAGGGTGCCCTGCCTGGGATATTGCTCAGAGAGAACCCAGAGACCAAGAGAGACCCAAGGGGCTGTCTTCAAGGGAGGAAACACAGCAGTGAGCCATGGAGTCAGAAGGAGTGAGAATGTGACCGTGGATAGTAGGCACGAGAACTTTCTTCTGATTCTGTGCCGGTTAGCCTGGGTTCACATCTTAGCTTAGCCTGCAGCAGCAGAGTCGATTTGGGCACCTTAGTTGACCTCTCTGTACTTTAATTTCCCTGTCTGCTGACTGGAGATTAGAAGAATATCCATACCTAGATCTGTTGTGCGGATTCAGCAGGTGGATAGAGCACTGGAAACAGCGCCTAGCATGGATGCGTGTCATGGCATGCCTCATTTTCCATCCTCCGCATCATCATCAGGCTTGGTTGGCTGGTGCTGAAGTGGGGATGTAAGGAAGAAAGCTGACAGAGAGGACCCAGCGGTTGTTACCCGGTGGCTTTTTGGAGGTGGCCCATTTACTGG